CGTGCGCAGGGATCGTGCAGGCGCTGCACATACCGCGAAAACGGAAAGAGGAAGATGACTCGAAAGAGCTAGTGAAGCAGTACCTGAGTTCGAGCCGGGCAAGACGATGGCTGCTAGTGGTAGATAACGCGGACAACCCCAACATACTCTTTGGGAGTGAGCAGTTAGAGGGCATCGTAGACTACCTGCCGGAGAGCGAAGGAGGCATGACTGTGTACACCACACGCACGCTAGAGGTAGCTGTGTCGCTGACACGCAGCGACGTGCTAGAGCTAGACGCGATGGACCGCGGAGACGCGATTGACTTTCTTTCTAAGTCGCTAGTCAGGAAAGAGCTTCTAAGTAACCAAGCAATGACAGACAAGCTGCTAGATGAGCTAACGTGCCTGCGGTTAGCGATTGCCCAGGCGGCAGCGTACCTTAACATAAACCGGACGACGATCGCAAGGTACTTGTAGCAGCTGCACAACGCAGAGCAGGACCTAGTCCACCTTATAAGCAGAGAGTTTCGCGACGACACGCGGTACAAGGGCTCGGCGAACGCAGTAGCGACAACGTGGGCGGTGTCGTTTAGCTAGATCTGCGAGTGCGATGCAGCAGCGGCTAAGCTCTTAGTATTTATGTCGTGCGTAGAGTAGAAGGCTATACCTTAGTCGCTGCTGCTAGAAGCACAGTCGGAAGGGGAGATAGAGGAGGCCATTAGCACGCTGTGTAGGTACTCCTTCCTAGTAAGGCGAGATGGCGACAGCCGAGGCACACAAGGGGAGAGCGAAGAGATAGAGACAGACATAGAGGAAGGGGAAGAGACAGAGACATAGATAGAGACAGAAGAGTAGTACAATATCTACTAGCTCGTCTACCTAGCGACACAGATCTAGGTTAAGAAGCATAGCAACGCAAGTAAGGTAGCAGAGAATGCAGTGCGGCATGTTACAGACGTCTTCCTATTAGACGACTACGAGATGTAACGAGAACTAGGCTATGTAGAGAGGGTACTTACTGCACGCGCTACAGCTGCTTAGCAGTAGTAGTAGTAGCTAGCTTCGTAAGTCTCTATTCTTAATGCTACTAGGCGGCTGTAATAGATTACTACTAGTCGAGGATAACTAATTACACATCTAACTATACTATACGGCAGGTGGTAACTATAGCTTACACCGCCACCCCTGCGAAACGCTAGCACTAATGTGGCAGGATCCTTGTCGCGTGGACTGTGCGATGAGAACAAAGCTGACTGCAGAACCGGAAACCGATTGTGCTCGCGACTGTATCTACGATTTGAGAAAGTAACCCAACGGTGCTTGCTTGTCCCACAAACTAGCCATCTCTCCATCTCAGAAAGAAGAAAAGAAAAGAAAAGAAAAGACAAGAAAAGAAATCAGTTACAGGACCCAATAACAAACTGTCTTGCTGAACTATATTACACAACTCCCCAAATCTTCACCACCACGCCTACGCAGCCCACCATTCACCCTACGCTACTTCCTGCTTATGGAAGCAGTAACCGGGTTACAATATACCACCGTAGTACGGACTGTTGGCAGCGCTGTGCAATCCTCCATCTACCGCGCCGCGTGGCTGAGCAGCCGGTTGCACCTCCGTGTAGCCGTGCGCCTGCATTTGCATACCGTTCGTGTTGAAAGGGCTGGGTGCCATCATAGTTGCGCCGGTGGATAAGAAGGAGTGGGTCCGCTGTAGATGTGGTGTGACGATTGGGGATAAAGCAGTACTGGCGAAATGTTAGCTGGGGTGTGCTCGAATCACAACGAGAGTCATTATTATATTTCGTACCCGTCTGAGGAGTCGAGCCTCCTGTGCTTGTGCGTGTTGGGCGGCGTCATGTGTGCCAGATCTTGCTGGTCTGTGGAGAAATGCCTCGGCTGGTTCTGCATGGTGGACATCTGTAGCTGCTGGTGCCATTCAATCTGTTTGTGGGCGGCAGCCAACTGCTCTTCCAGTTTGGACGTCTTTTGCAGCTCGCTTTCGTACAGCTTCTGCGTCTGTTTCTCCTTGGACTGCCAGCTCGCTTTGAAGAACAGGAACTTTGTGTCTCTGTGGCTTTGCATCTCTTTTATTGTCTTCTTTTGCTCGGCCAGGTACTTTTCTTGCATGTGGACTGCTTGACGTTGCAGGTTTGCTGTCGCAGCCGCCTTGAGCGCATTTATCCGAGCCTCGATGTCTTCAGCAGTCGGCTTGCTGAGCTCTGCGGCGAGGTCGGATTGCAGTTCCACGAGATTCTGCTTCAGCTGGAAGTTCTCGCTTTGACATGTCTGCAGCTGGTCTTGGGCCGCCTGTAGTTGTTGCGCCTTGTTCTCGCTGGACCACGTTCCGTACGCTTTTTCTGCCTCAAGTTGCTCCACGCGGGTCTTTAGGCCATCGAAGCAGTCCTTCACTTTAGTCATGTATTCGCGCCGCTCGGACTTCTGCTTCTCAACTTCCAGCCGGAGATCCCTGCTCTCGTTGCGTGCGTGGACCTTCTCGGTGTAGCGAGCCTGGGCGCGACCTTTCGCCTTGTGCATCTCGACTTCGGCAGCAGCAGCTCGGGCTTCAGCCTGGGCGGCGCGCTCTTCTGCATCTGCCGCTCGTGCTGTTAGGTCTTCTTTCTCATACTCCAGAGCCGTCACACGGCGCTTCAGGAGGGTGCTCTCGTCGAGACAGGAAGACACAGACGACAGCGGACGCTCTGCCGAGACCTTGGGTGGTTCTTTCTCCTGAGACGCCGTCGGCGGCGAGCCCTCTGGTGGCGGGGCAGGCAGCGAGCTGTCTTGCAAGCGGGGCGTCCAGGATGACATGGCGATGGTGGATTCGGCCATGTCGTGATGAGGCAGGGGTGAAGCGGGGGTAGAGATGTGTATGAAGAGCGAGTGCTTAATCAATGTGCGGGTGTAACAATGGGCACTAAGTGGAGTCAAGTACTTGGGGAGCGTCGTGGGTTGGATGAGCGGTCGGTTGAAATGAGAAAATGAGTATCGAAGTAATGGATCGAAAACTACTGAGAGGGTGATTATATACCAATCACGCTAGCCTTATTGTGCTTTCCAACAATAGAGATTCACTGCCATCACAGGCAAGGCTGCCATTTCCAACCCGCTCGAGTGGAAAGGCGAGGTCTGGGTGCACTAGGGCCGAAATTTGAAGTGAAAGGGAACGCGCCCCTTGGCGAAAATTTCGCCTTCGCGAACCCGTAGTGATTTCTTGGCGGGGTGGTGAAGACAAAAATCTTGCAACTGCGGCGAAAGCGGCGCTGCTCCTATTCCTAGCTGTGACCTGAATTGTTGCAGAGGGGTCGTCCACGCGTTGTGATACCAATCGATGCATACTATGTATTCTAAGTGTGGAAATGTTGCAGCTCAGAAATGTATTTTGTCAACGGGTAGTTAGATGCTGCCTAGAGATATCGTAGTCCAGAAATGGCTCGATGACGATAGACACTGTGCCCCTGATCAGCGATCGTGACAAGACTATAGTCTATTCGCGTTCCCAGGTGACTGTGGCGAAGCGTTCGTTTTACGCGCCAGTTTTTGGTAGTAACCAAGATTCTAGATAACCGCAGGCGGGTAACTTTGAGGATTCGACCACGTGATGGACTTTTGGCGCCGCCCTCCGGTGAGATGTATTCACATACTCACAACGATCACATTCAGGACTGCAATTTCATTTTTTTGGATGCATTCCTGAATACTGATTTTTGCAATTGCCGTCATGTCCAACGCTGGAGTTTCCTGTGTCCGACACTGCCCAGCCTGCGACAAGGAACCACAGGGCATCTTCTCGAGGTAGCACCTCCCAAGGTCCTGTCCATGACCAGATACGCTGCTCTTTCTGAAAACTTCTTGTGAGGTGATTTTAAGATTGCAATTATCCTCTTTCCATCGGAAACTCAGAGATGGATTCTCCTGGCCGACATGAACTGGTGCCACTAGGTACGCTCTGAGAGCTGGCATTACGCAAGATTGCAGCGATTACCATGTGCAACAGGCACTTTTTGGCTTCAATAGGTAGGTCTCTAGCGGTTATGGAGAACAAGGCTTTCACATCGCGCCCTGAAGCTGGCGGATGATGTGACCGCCCTCCCTACTGTATATTCAACACGGCGAATCTAGGCGTGCACGATTCGGCCTCTGCAAGAGTGGGTAGCAGCCATCGATCCAAGGTCAAAAGATAAGATAGGGCAATGAACAATAGCGGAAAACCTCATGGTTCATAGAGAAACGGAGGCACAGTTGTGAGGTACACGTCGGAAGAAGCATGCAAGTCTACCGGTAAGCGCCACGTCGGTCTTTTCGGAGATTTGCCGATCCTTTGAGTGCCCCACATCCGGGGGTCTCTACTGTGTAGGTAGGTAGGTATTCTCCTCTTGCCGCGCTGTTCAAGCCTCATAATATACACTTATGTCATATATAGCAATTGTTCAATACAGAACCTTGGGATTGTCTACCTAGTCGCTTGTCGCCCACTGCTAAGCAAGCTCACAATCCCTAAGCTTTACGCTACCCAGCAGGTACAGCGCGCACTTATGTAATTGTGAGGTACGAAACTTTGACTTGCAACAATTGCTGCATGCGCAAAGCTCGCCGGCTATAGGGCAGCTAATGCGGCCGTAAACCTCGCGCAATTGTGATGATGGGAAGCACATATCAAGCGGTTTGGCTTAGGTTTTCGAGAGTTGAAGAAATCGCGACTAGGTAGGTTAACGCTGAGATGCGTTGTTAGTTAACTTAATAGTAGCGAAACATGCCGGACAGCATCTTTTAAGAGCCGCTGCATGCTGGCATTATTCAATATTAGCGCGGGTGCGAAATATCTCTTGTTGCGTAACATTTGAATCCTGATGAGCCTGCCCGTGCATTGTTGAAAGTGGTTGGCACAGACAAACTTCGCTTCAGCCGATAGCCGAGCGTCACCCCTCCGGTCTTGAGCTGCTCTTATGTGGTGTATATATTCTAATCAACGCTACAGATTTTCACAATCACGTGCAACTGCCACGAGCAACAGCTCAATCCTCCGTGGCGCAATTGGCTAGCGCGTTCGACTGTTAGAAATGATAGTCTATCGAGAGGTTGGAAGTTCGAGCCTTCCCGGGGGAGATTTCTTTTTTTGCTAACTACTTGTTGGACCAAACAGAAAATTGCAAGGTCGGGGGGGCAACGCATTTATTTTCCGAGATGACTTGCAACATACACTAAAGCTTAAAAACTTGTCGCGCAGTGACGAAGAGGCTCAGAGCATTTCTTTGGCTAGAATGCGGTCTGTATGCTAAATATGGGTATATGTATCCGTAACCCGAACGCGTTGCCTAATGCTCCCTTCGTGCTGGGAAATCAGCCAAAAGGAGCACATGCTCCGCTCGCTATGCAGTAAAAAGCCGTAACAACATTATGCGTGTTCGCTTGTCCTCCAATATAAACATACACGTCTCCCAGTCAAGCCGCTCTCCGTATTACACGCTCTTCCGACCTTTCTTCTTCTTCTCCTTCGGCGCCTCGCCCACTGCTGTTGCACCAATCTTGAACTCATCGCTGTCAAGATTGAAAGCGCCTCGAACGATGCTGAAAGTGATGAGATCCCTGGTATAGCACTTGACTCCGTCCTGTATCAGCTTCTGTGCTTCGGTGTCATCCTCGCCCATGGCAAGTACGATAACGTCACCCGTCTTGTTCATCCTCGCACTTGTAACGCTCTTCGCACCCGCAGCTTTGCACACAGCCTCGATCTCGTTGAAGGGACTGTAAAAAGCTTTGAGGCTCTTGGTGAAGTGGATAGTGTAGCCTTCAAAAGGCGTTTGCGGTTGCCCGAAGATGTCGTCGAGTTTGAACTTCCATTCTCGTTCCTGCTTAGGCGCGGAAAGCTTGTAGGCTGATAAGGAGAGGAAACGACCGGCTTTTGCAGAGTCCAAGAGCCATTTATCTGTGACGATTGGGGTGCCTCGAGCGATGGCGTGCAGCACTTTTGATTTCTTGGGGAGGTCACCGTCTCTTACGCTGCAGCGAATCAATAAAAATTTAGAAGGTGGCAGAATTACGAATACTGACCATACTACGTTGAATTCATCGCTCAGATTCTCCACGTAAGTTCCACCTTGTTTTTTGAGGAACTTGACGGCATTATGCGCCTTCGTGATGGCAGAGTTGCTGGAAGCTATTCGTGGTGTGGGCCCGTGATACGCGTCCGCTGATATGTTCGTTGTTGCTGTTGAGCGTTGCGAGCTCGTCTGGGACCTTATGGTGGTTGCTTCGTCAACTTCCGCGACGTCTGATAACCGTTTCTTTCCCTTTTTCGGAACTTCGCGCGGCTCAACATCGATATTGCTCATGCGGCTGTCTTGGGTGTCATCGTCATCGTCACTTCTCTTCGCGCGCTTGGACCGAGGAATTGCTTCCAGTTCGGACTCTAAATCGTCAGTTTCCAAAATGGGGGTAGCGCGCTTGCGGGATGATTTTGGTGGGATCTGCACCTGAGGCGAGCTCTTGGCTCTGCTGGAGCGTGATGGTTTCCTTACAGTGGCGTCGTCTGGCAGAGAAATATCGGCTTTCGAGAGTACATCCGCCTTTCGTGCTGCAGACCTGTTCTGTGACTCTCCGGTATGTACTTTCGAGAACGCCTCCGTCCCCGTTTCTGTTTCTGGCTCCGTCTGGTCTGCAGGTGCATGCGAAGAAGAGGGTGTATTCTTAACTGGTTCAGCTGGTTCGTCATTCGCAGATTCGGTCGCAGCGACATATGGGTAATGTGCAGCGCTATTGAAACGAGCTGCTGTTGGAGTTTCTTGAACGACAACGGACCGTTGATTGGAAAGCTGGGGTGTCGCTCGAGGTTGAAACTTGTCGTGATTCAGCGGGGCTACAGTGATAGTATTATCAAGGTCTTCATCTTCAGTTTCTTCTTCTGGGGTCTCAGCAACACCGTTAACATGAGCAGAGACCGCAATCTGGACTGCATCGGTAGCTGACGAGTTGACCTGTACCTCAGAGTCGGTCCAATGACAAGTCAAGTTACTCGTGGACTTGAGAAAATATATCATGTCCCCATGACGCAGGATGATAGCCTCCGAGTGCTCGCCAACGCGTGGCTGCAGCTGGTACTTTTCGATCTTGGAGTTCAGGGCCGTAGTAGCGGTTGCAGTAGCAGCAATATCAGTATGGCCAGGGAGGATGCTCAGAGTATCGTTGACAGCTTCAAGCTTCATGCCCCATGGGCCAACAACTACTGGGGTTAGAAAAGACGGTTTCACAAGCGTCAAATGGTTGATTGGTCTCATACCGATTTGCGCAAGCACTGTCTGCAGCTGCGGCAGCACTTGGCGCACGATTCCGATGCCGGAGGGGTTGTTGATAGGTAGAACAACATACGCAGTCTCTTCATTTGATAAGTTAAACTCGCTCGATCCTGGAGAGCCCGTGTTGGATGTAGCGACTAATGTCCAGCCCATTGCTGCGAGTTGGTCGACGCGTCATGGCGAACCTTGGTGATGGACGCGCGATCACGTTCTCCGGTTCGGGCTAAGGCTGACCGCAGAATAAGCGGGTCCAGCGCTGATTGGGCACACGTAGGCTAGCGCTGCCGCGTTCCTTGCTCTGCACCCGCGGCCATCGCATCACACATCGAGTAGAAGGGCATGTAGTACCATGGCTGCAGAGTTGTGTGCTTCCCATGCCGTGCCTGCAGATCGGTCATTGTCCATCCCGGATGCAGTTCGTCTGCCTGCAAAAGCAAGCAATGGAGGTCTCAGAGCCTGGGCTTCGGCAGTCGAAGAACAATAGTAAGAAATCCAAAGCTATCTCGCCAAAACCTCATCACAGACCGCAAACAGTTCCTCTGACGGTCTCGATATTCTTTTGAGTGACTCTGCGACTCGATGCAAGACAGGAGAAGACGAACAGCATATAGCATTGGCTGCGCGTCACCACACCTGGCCCGTCGAGGCGAACAAGCGGAAGCACACAGGTGAACAAGCGGGCAGAACAATAGCAAGAGCATCAGCTATCTCTGAGACGTCGCCTTCACGGTGCTTTTGGCCAGCTGTTGTAGTGAGTTGGAATATTGGTACAATCTTACATTGTTCTGTGGCTGCTATTATTCGGACACCCTCCTCCTCCCCTATCACTGGCATCACGACAATGTCTAGTGTCAACTTTAAGCGCAAAAGTATTCTCGAGCTCTAGATATTATATTCTGCTGCCTGTACGATACATATTCCGTCGACAGCGCTGCTTAACTCCTTCGCTCTTTCCTCAGCCTCCACCCACCTCTTCCTTCCTTCCTACTGCGACAGCAAGTCTGGACCCTGCCACCAAGCTCTTCCTCGCCGACTAGCACCACTTCTTTATCTCGACCCTCGATCAGATCCACTAGCTCCGGCAGTCATCCCGGCCCGACGGCAGCTCTTCATCTCCGCAAACCTCACCCAACCTCTATCCTCACGACTACTCCCAGTAGTCTCGACAACACGGTGCCATGGAGAATCCTACACTGCCAGCGGACTTTGATCTGTTCGCCCAGAACTTCACCATTCTCCTCCCAGATGGCACCCAGATGAACCGGACCATGCAAGAGCTCAACCAGTATCGGATGTACGGCTTTCACCTAGCCATCAACTACGGAGCCGGTGTCGGCGCCTCCGTCATGCTTCTGCTGATTCTCCTCCTGCTTACCAGGGCCGAGAAGCGGAAATCATTTATCTTCTTCCTCAATGCCCTCTGCCTACTCACCAACACAATCCGCTGCGTCCTCCTCGGCTGCTTTCTCACCAGCGAATTTTACCATCCTTATGCTGTCCTGAGCGGGGACTTGGAACGCATCAAGGGACCTACTCTTGCCACCCATGTCACTACAAACATCTTTACGCTTGTAGTCACTGCCCTGGTTCTTGTCTCCCTCAGTCTCCAAGTTTGGATCGTTTGTGTCACCACGCCTGCTCTGCAACGCAACATCATTATGGGTGTAACGACGGGCATGGCTTGCGTTGCCTTCGCATACAAATTCATCGTCTGCTATTACAGCATCAAGACGGTTCTGGCATATGAGGAGATGACGCCATATTTGGACTTGTTTTCGAAGTCCTACGTCACCCAGGCCGTTTCCATTTGGCTTTTCAGCTGCGTCTTCACCTACAAGCTAGGATATGCCATCGTTCAGAGGCGCCGCCTCAACATGCCACAGTTTGGACCGATGCAGATTGTCTTCATCATGGGCTGTCAGACCATGTTTGCTCCAGGTAGGTACATCTCAAATCTCAACGTGTGTGCTTGAATTCTACTAACACACTGCAAGCACTCTTCTCGACTCTACAATTTGCGAACACGTCTCCCGAGATAATCAACAACGTCCTCACCGTTGTTTGCCTCTTTCTTCCTCTATCTGCCATCTGGGCTGGTGTGGTCAACGACTCAGACGTTGCCGGCGCTGGAAAAGACTCTCATCACCGGCTCTTCAGAGGCGAGTTCTACCGATCATCGGTATCGACCAACCTGAGTGGTAGCTCTACGGCGTACGCCAAGAGCCGTCTAATGAGCGTCTCCACGTATGGCAAGGGCAAGGACATTGAAAGCGCGACCACGACTCCCACCTCGCTAGTCCACAAGACAAGCATGGACGGTAACGGCATCCGCGTCGATCGCGACTTCGGCTTCTCGCGTATCGATGCTGCTGGCCGGGTCTAATGGCCCTTCGCATCCTACCGTCTACAGCTACTATCACTTCGGCGCCTGACACAACGGCGGAAGATATGGTATGGACAGTATTTACCGGACCCATTTGGGTATCTTCTGATGGCGTACTCCGGATATGTGCGTACATCTAGCGTGTAATTTCCGAACATGTTCCTTCTTTCTTTCCCTCAAACTCCACTATGGGTACATGGCTCAGATAGCCTCCCTCAAAGAAATTCTCTTCACAATTTCAGCTGCTCGTTCTCGTGTGTGATGCATTAAAAAAGTTGCCGATTTAGGCCCCCTAAGGATTTCCGTGACGTTACTTAGGCTAGTTATTACCTAATCAACTTTTTCAGTAGGTGTCGATTACTGTAGATTCACCGTAGTCTACACTGTACAGTGGAAGATTGTAGAATTCTAGTCTTTTGGTATCTTACCCA